CCGCCTCAGCCTCCCACGTAGCTGGGACTATAGGTGTGCACCACCACACCTGGCTAATTTTTTGTATTTTAGTAGAGACAGGGTTTCACCATGTTGGCTAGAATGGTCTCGATCTCCTGACGTGATCTGCCCGCCTCCCAGAGTGCTGGGATTACAGGTGTGAGCCACCACACCTGGCCCAGTTATTTTAATTTCATCAGTATAAAATATGTGGAAATTGTTACATTAGTCCTTATGTAATATCCTTGGTGTGGCCTCTTGGCCTGCATAGCATGGAGTATTTACTATCCGAACCTTTATAGGAAGCTCACCAACATGTATTTCAACCCTTGACATCTCATCTGTTACCATTTATTTAGATCTTTTGCTGATTTTTCTCACCAGTGTTTGTTTTGTACTTTTCAGCATATAGATCTTTGCACAGATCTTTTGATCTTTAAACATCTGTAGATCTTCCGTAAAATTTATATTTAAGTATTTAATTTTTCTTGGTGCTCTTGTGAATAGTACTTTTACAATTTTGATTTCTGTTTGTCAGTAGTACATAGAAAGAGGACTTTTTTTTTTTTTTTTTTTTTTAAGACAGAATTTCACCATTGCCCAGACTGGAGTGCAATGGCGTGATCTCGGCTCACCACAGCTTCCACCTCCTGGGTTCAAGCCATTCTCCTGCCTCAGCCTCCTGAGTAGCTGGGATGACAGGCATGCACCACCACATCCAGCTAATGTTTTTTGTATTTTTAGTGGAGATGGGGTAGCTCCATGTTGGTCAGGCTGATCTCCAACTCCCGACCTCAAGTCATCCGCCCGCCTCAGCCTCCCAAAGTGCTGGGATTAGAGGCGTGAGCCACCATGCCTGGCCCAAAAGAGGACTTATTTTTTGATGTTGACCTGCGACCTTGCAAAACTCTTCCTCAGCGGTTTCCATAGCTTTTTCGTAGACACTGGGGATTTCTATATAGCAAATCACATCTTCTGCATATAGAAAGTTTTGTGTCTTCATATCCAGTCTGTGTGCCTTTCATTGATTCTTCTCATTGTCCTGGCTGGGACTTCCTTGATGGTCCGCAGTAGCGGTGGGAGGCAGCGGCGGTGGGAGGCAGCGGCGGTGGGAGGCAGTGGCGGTGAGAGTAGGTATACCCCTGCCACAATCCCTGATCCCAGCAGAAGCAGCCCTTTTCTCACCGCTGAGGATGATGCTAGCGGTAGGTTTTTTGTAAATGTCTTACCAGGCTGAGGAAGTGCCCTTTAGTTCCTTGTTTGCTCAGAGTTTATATAGAGTATGTGTTGAGTTTTTTCAGATTATACTCTTGCATCTACGGAGATGGTCTTAGGGTTTTTCTTACTTAATCTGTGAATATGGTGAGCTACACTGATTTTTGAATTTTTTAAAAAATTTAAGTTATATTTAGAGATTGGGGTTTCACTCTGTCACCCAGGCTTGAGTGGTACCATCATGGCTCACTGCAGCCCCAAACTCCTGGGCTTAAGCGATCCTTCCGCTTTAGCCCCCAAGCAGCTGGGACTACAGGCACATGCTACTACACCTGCCTAATCAAAAACCATTTGTTTTTAGAGATGGGGTCTGAAACTCCTGGACTCAGGTGATCCTCGTGATTCCTTGTGTGTCTTTGGTTTTGGTAGCGGGGAATGGTGTCCACACTGTCCTTTTCTGTTTTTTGGAAGAGTTGTGTAGAATTGGTGTTAATTTTTCCTTAAATGTTTGATAGACTTCACCAATGAAGCCATCTGGGCCTAGGGTTTTTGTTGTTGTATTTCTGTAGTGTGAATAGGGTTACCCGTTTCTTCTTGAATGAGCTTTGGTGTTTTTGTCTTTCAAGCAATTGGTTCATTCCATTTAAGTTGTCAAATTCTCTGGCATAAAGTCCTCCATAATATTCCTTATATCCCTTCTTGTGTCAGTAGGATCTGCAGTAATGTCCCATCTGTCATTCCTGATGTTGGTTACTTGTGGCTTCTCTCTTTGTTTCTTTTGTCAGTCTGGCTATAGATTTCAGTTATTGATCTTGTTAATAACCAGCTTGAAGGCTGGGTGTGGTGGCTCATGCCTGTAATCCCAGCACTTTGGGAGACTGAGGCAGGTGGATCACCTGAGGTCAGGAGTTTGAGACCAGCCTGGCCAACATGGTGAAACCCGGCCTCTACTAAAAATACAAAAATTAACTGGGCGTGGCGGTGGGCTCCTGTAATCTCAGCTACTTGGGAGGTTGAGGCAGAAGAATCACTTGAACCCAGGAGGCGCAGAGGTTGCAGTGAGCCGAGATCGCGCCATTGCATTCCAGCCCGGGCAACAGGAGCAAAACTCCGTCTCAAACAAACACCCAGTTTTTGGTTCCTTTGATATTTTCCCCTCTACTATTTTTGTTTCACATTATTTTTACTCTATCATTTCCTGCCTTCTTGCCTTATTTGTCCATTTATTAAAGCATAATTTACATTCAGTACAATTCCTTTTACGTGTACAGTTCTGTGAATTTTGGAAGTCCATAGTCATGTCGTACCACAGTCATGATACAGAACAGTTCCCGAATTCCGTGCATGTTCTCTCATCTTCCACGCCTTGGTTTTCCTGCGCCTGCAGCTTATAGGTGGCCCCACTGCACGCAGCCGTCGTGCCCGCCACCTCCCCCGAGTGGGCCTTCCGGTGCTGCAGGCCCTGTGCTGCCAGGGAGCTTCACTCCTGGCCCCGGCCAAGGAGTCTTCCATCAAGTGGACGGACCCCACCTTGTCTGTCTTTCCTCACTTAAGGGACATTTTTCCCCCAGTTTTTGGCAAGTTTGGTGCATTGCTTTGGATTTAATTTATCTGGTTTCTTGGAGTGAAAAGTTAGACCATTGATTTGAGACCTTTTTTGAAAAAAAATTTGAGGTATCTACATGTGATGAAATCCGCCAACTTTAGCCGGGCATGGTGGCTCACGCCTGTAATCCCAGCACTTTGGGAGGCCGAGGCGGGCGGATCACGAGGTCAGGAGATGGAGACCATCCTGGCTAACACGGTGAAACCGCGTCTCTACTAAAAATATAAAAAATTAGCCGGGCGTGGTGGCGGGCACCTGTAGTCCCAGCTACTCGGGAGGCTGAGGCAGGAGAATGGCGTGAACCTGGGAGGCGGAGCTTGCAGTGAGCCGAGATCGCGCCACCGCACCCCAGCCTGGGCAACAGAGTGAGACTCCGTATAAAAAAAAAAAAACAAAAAGAGAAAGAAATCCACCAATTTTGAGTATGTGCTTCAGTGAATTCTAGTGTTTTCACAGCATTGCCCAAGCATGGCCACATCCTGCATTCAGAACACTCTGTAACCCTGACACGGATTTGCAAGCCTCCTGCCACTTCTGCAGGCTTTTCTGCAGGGAACAGTCACTGCTGTGCGTGTCCCCGGGCACCAAGGCTGTGTCCCTCTGGACTCTCCATGCTCCTAGCCCATTGTCCTGTGGAGCTCTGTGTGGGCGTAGCCTCATGTGATGAGCTGGTTTACTCAGGCAGCACGCGGGGCTCAGAAGCCACACGCACAGGCGTGACTTTGCACATGGGTGCCCACACAGGTGCATCCTCGCAGGTGTGCACCCATAGGTGTGTCCTCACGGGCGTGTGCCTGCAGGTGCATCATGGGTGTGTCCTGACAGGTGTGTGCCTGCAGGTGCATCATGGGTGTGTCCTCACGGACGTGTGCCTGCAGATGTCTCCTGACGGATGTGTCACGGGTGTGCACCCATGGGTGTGTCCTGACAGGTGTGTGCCTGCAGGTGCATCATGGGTGTGTCCTCACAGGCGTGTGCCTGCAGATGTGTCCTGACGGATGTGTCACGGGTGTGCACCCATGGGTGTGTCCTGACAGGTGTGTGCCTGCAAGTGTGTGCCAGCAGCAGGAGGGAGATACTCTCCAGGCCCCTCCACAGGGTCCTTGCAGCACAGGTTTGGCCTCTATGTGGACAGATGGGCTGGGCTTTTTTGGTGCTGGTCTTGCTGCATTTTGCTGAATCCCAGGCCTGTGTGGGCCTCTGGGCGGATTCCAGCTGAGACAGGCCTCGTGCTCAGTCCTCCCTGCAGAGCTGGTGCAGGGTGGGCTGGCGAGGGTACTTGTGGTGCTGGTTCATGAGGACGTGGCCTCGCTGCCTCCCAAGCTGAGCCCCTGCAGCGGCCTCAGGAGGCCTGGAGCATCGGGGTGTCAGCACCACCCGCCTGGACTTCCCTGGGCCTTCCAGAGTAAGCCTCTGGGCTCCGGAAGATTCAGTGGCTCTCTGCGTGTGGAGCTGGTGAGAAGGCTGGAGGGCCCCATGGTGTCGTTGCTGAGGGAAGTGTTGTACTCACCTGATGGCCGGTCTCGGGGCACTCCCAGTGCCTGCTGCCTGTTGCTGTCTCTGAGCTCTGGTGAGGGTGACCCTGTCATTCCTGGAGCAACTCTGCCCCGTTTCTGAGCCTGCCTGGGCCCAGGAAGCCCCAGCTGTGTTCTCTGTGTAGTCGCTGCTGTGTTTTGGAGGGAAAGATGGGGACCGCTGTGGGCAGGGCTGGGGGCTGGTGGTGGCCATGTGGCTCTTGAGAGTAGCATCCAGGCTGGCTGCTGCCAGTGGGAAGGTGTCCCGGGGCTCCCGGCAGGGTCTGGGCAGTGCTGGAGCTGGGCTTCGCCTGGGAAGCTGCCACCTGGCCCCCACAGCTTCCCCAAGAAGGGCCTGAGCCTTTGGGGGCGGCTGGCGTCTGTGAGGATCCGGGATGGGGGCTGCTGGCTCCTGCTGGGAATGGCCCCTCCTGGTGCATCTCCCTGGCCCTGACCCAGCCTGTCAGTCCATTCTGGTTGCAGCCACCCCTCCCTGATGGTGTGGGGGCTTCGCTTCCTCTGTTTGTTCCTCGCCTGAGAGAGCAGAGGTGGGGGTGGTGACACTGCCCCGCCTGAGCCCCGGGTCTCTGGGCAGCGGGAGGTGGCCCTGGTTCTGGGCTTTGGTACCACAGGTGACCCTCTGCTCTGTCTGTTGCTGTTTGCAGACTACGTCTACTTCGAGAACTCCTCCAGCAACCCATACCTGATCCGGAGGATTGAGGAGCTCAACAAGGTACTGGGTGGCCCTGGCGTGGCTGCAGAGGGTAGTGGGTGGGGGCTACGCCAGCTCCTGCCCTGTGGGTGGCCCCCTTTTGGGGCTGGCCTTGGACTGGCCACTGTGCAGGCCCTTCAGTGACTCCGTCCACTGTCACCTGCACCCTGGCCCCTCCTTGGAGAAACTGAATGAGGGGCCTGGTGGCCTCGTGCAGGACCCAGCGCGGCTGCCCTGAGCTGCCTGCCCACTCCACACTTGGTCTGTGGGCGCTGGGTCCCCTGAAGATGCCAGCGTCCCCTGGGGAGCCTGAGCAGAATGGCATGATTCTGAAACCAACCAAAGGCTGCAGGAAGCCACACTCGGTGCCCCTGCCCTGCCCAGCTCCCAGCAGCCAGCCCTGCAGGGCTGTGAGCTCTGCCCTGACGCCTGAGGTATCTGTGTGGCTGGAGGCACCCTCCCTGGTCATTCGGGCAGCCCTTGGTCCCACCTGGTTCGTGTCTGCCATGAGTCCTTGGCAGCTGCTTGCTGTTTGATCGGGGACGTGGTTGTGCCCATGCATTGAGCCTGGCAGCACCAGATCCTTCCTGGGGGGTGGTGACACATGGGCCCCTCAGCCCCAGCCACTCCCGGCCTCCTCCGCCTCCGCACAGCCTCCGTCCCGTCGGCTTGGGAGACAGAGCTGCAGATGGCTGTGGAGGTGCAGGGCACCCGCACACCCTGGGAGCCTTCTCGCTGTCCGCAGGGATGGGGGGTGGGTACCCCAGCCTCCCTTCTCCTCCTGGTTGGACACTGTCTAAGGGTGTTGAGGGAGGGCAGGTCGTCCCCACCAGTGGACACATGGTTCCAGCAGAGAGTGGGGTGGGCTGCTAGGTGCTTCACAGACCTCTCTGTGCCTGCCTGCAGGGCTCCCGAGCCCCCGAACCTCTGGAGCCAGTGGCCTGATGGCTGTCTTCTAGGAGCCCTGCCCACTCCACAGGCCTGGGGCACCCGGGCCCTTGGTGTTCCATGCTGGGTGCTGCAGGCTTACCTGCCTTCCTGGACATCAGATTTGGTGGCATCGGTGATGTGGGATTCTTGGGATCAGAGGGGACAGGGTGGGGAAGGTCAGCACGCCACCTCTGACGTAGCCATGCTGCACTCTGGGCTTCCCTGGCTGTGCTTGTCAAGGACCATTTCCTGCGGCATCTGCCATCACCAGGGGCCGAGGAGCGTGGGATGTGGTGTCTGCTCCCCTGCAGCTTCCTGGGAGGTCTGAGGGGCAGGCCTGTTTGTTGGAGACATGGGCAATGATCCGGGTGTCCTCTGAGTCTGTCTCACTGCCCCTGCTGGGCAGGGCCTGCCCGCCTGCAGAGCAAGGCCACTTGGACTCTGGGTACGGCTGGAACGGGCGCTGCTGCTGTGGACTGAGCCTCCCGAGTGCGGGGCTGGAACGGGTGCTGCTGCTGTGCCTGGGCCTCCCGATTGCAGGGCTGCACTTTGCACATCACAGCATGCGGACTGTAGGAAAACTGAGGTGCAGAGGGAGGTTCCTCAGCTGAGTTGAACCAAGGCTCGGGGAGGCCCTGGGTCCCTCCTGGTCCATGTAGTGGAGGGGTGGCTGGCAGACGGCGCTGCTGGCTCCACACAGCCAGCTGGCAGGCAGCCTGGGGCGGGAGGCTGCAGTGCCTCCGTGGGCGCCTGGCCGAGTGCCATTGCTGGGAGGTGCCACTGCTGAGAGGTGCCACTGTCAGGAAGGTTCCCTCGTGCTGCTTCTGGCTTCCACGTGCAGACAGTAGACTGCAGGCGTGTGCAGTTGGGGACTGGCTTCCGGCCCTTTGGCAATGTTCAGGTACAGATGTAGCATTGCGCACGCTCAGAGCTGTCCCCTTCATCCTAGCACTCCCTCCTCCTCAGGGCCAGGGCCACATGGCCTGGACACTTGCCCATCTCTGGGTAGGACACCAGCCTGTGAGGGGCACGACTACTGTCTCAGACAGTTCAGGCAGGGCAACTGACCCAGACGCTCACCATGTGGAAAGGAACCCGTGGGCCTGCAACACAGCGTGGCCGGTGCCCTCCACACCAAGGAGCTCCAGGCGGGGCTTCCAGGTGGGCGCAGCTGGTTGAGTACAGACCTCCCCTCTGTTCCCTGGCCTGAACGCCCCCTCAAATAACAAGACAGGGGTGCTGGAGCTCTGCACCCACAGGGCAAGGAAGGTGGGAGAGGAGGTGCCACTGGGAGGTGTGGGCGCAGTTCGGAAGGCAGCCAGGCGGATTGGGAAACCTGAGAGGCCCCGGCCCTGGCCCGGGTCAGGGTCGGGAGAACAGGAACCATGCTGACGTGCGGCTGGCAGTGCGGAAGACTGGTGGAAGACCTGTCTGGGGGTCAGGTGAACCTGCAGAACCCTTCCCTGGGCTGGAGCAGTGGACTCAGAGGACCCAGATTTGGGGCACTAGGCCCAGGCCAGCACGGTTCATGCGGGGGCTGCAAGTGGGGGTTACCTGGCTCGTGGGCTGTCCCTTGGTGGGCCCTTGTGCCCCTCTTGCCTCCTTGGCTCCCAGGACCCCAGCATCCAGACTTCTAAAGCCCACAGACCCAGCTGCTGGCATCGGGGACCCAGCAGGATGCCCGCTACCCCAGCGCCCGTGGGTGCAGCGCATGCAGCGAGCTGTCCAGCACCTGGGAGGCTCCCGGTGACCAAAAGTCACAAGATGGTTGGGGAGGGCTTTTGACATGAAGATTAGTCGGCAACGTGAAAATGGAACTCAGGGCCGGGTGTGGGGCTCAGCCAGTAACCCCAGCACAGGGAGGCTGAGGCGGGCGGACCACAGTAACCCCAGCACTGGGAGGCCGAGGCAGGCGGACCGCGGGGTCAGGAGATCGAGACCGTCCTGGCTAACTCGGTGAAACTCCATCTACTAAAAATACAAAAAACTAGCCGGGCACGGTGGTGGTGCCTGTGGTCCCAGCTACTCAGGAGGCTGAGGCCGGAGAATGGCCGGAGCCCAGGAGGCGGAACATGCAGTGAGCTGAGATCGCGCCACTGCGCTCCAGCCTGGGCGACAGAGCGAGACTCTGTCTCAAAAAAAAAAAAGAAAAAGAAAAAAATGGAACTCAGAGGAAGGGCCAGTGCAGAGAACAGAAGGAAACTAAAGCAAAACAAAGCCCATGAATGTTCTCAGAGAAAGGGAAGGGATCCGTCCTGGGATGTAGTCAGATGAGAGGCAAGCTCTTGACACTTGGCTTAGGAGAAGTAACAAGTGGAATGAAAGGACCAGGTGATAAAGTTGAGGATACCGCCCAGAAGATGGGGCAAAAACACAAAGAAACTAGGAGAGACAAAAAATGAGACGATCAGTCCATTGGTCCAATGTCCAGTTCATAGCAGAGAAGAAGGAGTGAACACAGAAATAAAGAGGGGCCCTTTCAAGGTGTATTTAAACTGTTAGAACATGGGAGAAGAAATGCATTTAGAGGAAAAGTGGGTCACATACAAAGGCCTGGAGTCAAACCCCACTTTGCCTTTCAGCAGCCACGTTCGGGTGTGGAGGCTCCAGGCCCAGCCAAGCTCCATCTCCCGGAAGGCAGATGGGTGAGGTTTCCCCACTGAGGCCTCGGAGTGCACCCCTCCACGCCTTTCCACCACGAGGAAGGTGCATGTTCCTCCCGCCCAGGAGGACGCAGTCCCCGGTGCGGGTAGCAAGCAGGTGGACGCCAGCTCTGGGAGGGGTCTCCCGGGCACCCTGATGTGAGCCCTTTCCCTTCAGGAGCTCTGCTGCCGAGCACTTTAGGGAAGAATCAGTGATGATTCCATGAAAAACTAGGCAAGTGGAGAAAATGAGACGATTGTTAACCTCAGGAAGCAAAGCTGTTCAAAGGAAGAAAAGAAAGAATGGCCTAGTGCGGCCTCGCTACCTTTACCTGTGTGTGCAAGAATGCCTCAGAACAGACCCCGAATGTGACTGAATCCACCGTGTGCAGGAACACGACGGAACAGACCCCGAGCGTGACTGAATCCACCGTGTGCAGGAACACGACAGAACAGACCCCGAGCGTGACTGAGTCCACTGTGTGCAGGAACACAACAGAACAGACCCCGAGCATGACTGAATCCACCGTGTGCAGGAACACGACGGAACAGAACAGACCCCAAGCGTGACTGAGTCCACTGTGTGCAGGAACACGACAGAACAGACCCCGAACAGACAGCGGAGATGAATCCACATGCAGAAACAGCAGAACAGACCCAAAATGAGACTGAATCCACCGTGTGAGAACACGACAGGTGAACCCGAGCGACTGAGTCCCTGTGTGCAGGAACACGACAGAACAGGCCCCGGCGTGACTGAGTCCACTGTGTGCAGGGTATCAAGACAGACCCGAATGTGATTAGTCCACTGTGTGCAGGAGTGCACCTCCAGAACAGACCCGAATGTGACTGAATCCGTGTGCAGGAGCTCCCGGCGGAGACAGACTGACGTGACTGGAGTCCACTGTGTGCAAACACAACCCGAACAGACCCCGAGGCGGGACTGGAAGTCCCTAGTAATGCAGGGTACATCCTGGGAACAGACCCAGCGGGACTAGTCCACTATGTGCAAACACAGCAGACAGACCCCGAGCGACTGAGTCCGTGTGGGGGCTCGACAAGTGGGCCAATGGGGACTGAATCCACCATGTGCAGGAACACGACAGAGGCAGAGACCCGGCGGGACTGAGTCCACCGTGTGCAGGAACACAGCAGACAGACCCGAGCGGGACTGAGTCTGTGTGCAGGAGTGCATCAGAACAGACCCCGAATGTGATTGAATCCACCGTGTGCAGAACACGACAGAACAGACCCGGCGTGACTGGAAGTCCGTGTGCAGGTACGACAGAACAGACCCCAAAGCGGGACTGAATCCACCGTGTGCAGGAACCGACAGAACAGACCCAGCGTGACTAGGTCCACTGTGTGCAGAAACACAACCGAACAGACCCGGCGTGACTGGAGTCACTGTGTTGCAGAAACACAGCAGGCGGGCCCAGCGACTGAGTC